ACTAAATTATCAGTCAAGGCAACTGTGAATAAGGAGCCTAGTGAGTCAAAAGATAATGGAGACGTTTTGTGCAAAGCCAGGCAGGGCCAAAGAGAGAAACAAATATTTCCAAGGTCAGGAGAATGGGCAAACGCAGAGAAGGACAAAGGCTACTTGCACTCATGTCCCTGTCCAACAGAAGCAGGAGGCTAGCCCGGAAGCACTTAATTACTGCATTGCTTTACTGGTTAGGAAAGGCAACATTGCTAGACCTTTGGCCTTTGCCTACCTAGAGGCTCTCTGACTAGGCTAGCCTGGCAAATGATATATTCATGAAGTGACCTGTTTTGCCCCATGGGGGCCTGAGGGACTTCAGGCCACCAGCCAAACCACCAAATGGAATGAGGGGCTAGGGTATTTGGGACAGGATCTTCATACACAGGTACTGCTTGGCCCAAGGGCAATTCCTGCTCTCTGGCCCTAAGGGAACTTGCCTACGAGCAGAAAGGACTTCTGGGAAAAAGTCCATCCCACTCTGCTTATACAGAGGGAGCTAGAAGTACCCTGTCTAGGGTCACTGACTCTGGAATTGGGGATGTCCTTCCTCTTCCCTCACCCATCCCCACCCCCATCTCATCAGCTCAACAACAAAGCTTGTCAGTCTGGTTCCCCTTTAAGGAAGCTTTGCTTCTCAGTTTCCCCTTCTGTAGAACATCCCTCTCACCCACTAGCTAATTCTCAATGAGTTTTCTCCAAGTGCCTAAAAAGAAGGAGGCCTAAATCTCAGGGTGGTTGTTTAGGGGTTGGTGGGGGAGTGGACAGATCATATGCATAAACAATAAGCAAATATGTTTCAGCCTCAATTGTTTGAGGAAGAGAGAATTCTATGCGTTTCTGTGAGATCAAGGGTGAGCAATGATGACTGAAGGGTCTGGAGCTTGAACCCAGATGTCCTAATTCCCAATCCCTTCTCTAATTCTATGGCCCTGGTGAACAAAAATATTTTTCACCACCTTCAGGACAAGCAAGGTTTCATTCTTTCCTGTCTTCCTTGGCTTTCTTTTCCATCTCTGTGTCCCTCCCTCTATTTCTCTCTGTCTCTCTTGAGTCTCTTCCTCTAAGTATTTCTCCTTCTGTATCTTTTTCTGGGTCTCTTTCTCTCTCTTTTTCTGTCTTTTCCCCTCCCTCCAGATCCTTTGAGCAGTAGGAAGATCTCAACCTGGGCACTTAGGAGGGAAAATACTTAGAAAACCCATCCACTCTTCTTTTCCTCATAATTCCAGGTCAGGAGCCTGACCTCTTGACTACCACCTCCTCTCTCCCCAACCCAACTACTAGGACACAGAGAATCTTTGTAGAACTCTCAGAACTGTCTCACCAACGGTCAACTGTCACATAGGTCCTCTGGGGCCTTTCCTCAACCTTGGCCACTTGCCTACCTGTGCTGGCAGACCTTGTTAGTTTACAGTGGCCCAAACTGTGATTATCCGTGGTGGGGAGGAGGGTATCCCCACCTTCTCAGGCTCAGGTCCCATATTGACACCCAAGCTTTCCTTTGGGGACCATTCTCTTACACCAAATCCTCCCTGCCATCACCATCATTCCCCATTCTGCTCTGGGTAGGTCACAGGGGTTGTTCTTAATATATTAGCTGAGACTGATTCAGGAGTCTTCATATAGAAGTTGGTTGAGATAAAAAAAATAACTAGATATCAAAAAATATGACACAGGGAGCCAGAGGAGGTGGGGAAAAAATTGAGCTTCTGTATCGGTCCTTCTAGGCTCTTGTCCTTGAGTAGCAAAAGGACTTATGAAATAGCTCAATCTTCCCAAGTTTTCAAAGGTTTTAAAATAAATATTTCTGACAGGTGGAGGAAGCATGGTATTGGGAAAGTAATGGATCTGGGTTCAAATCTTGTCTCTGCTACTTATTATCTGTGTCACTTCTGTATAGGCCTCAGTTTCCCCATCCATGATGTGATAAGGTGGAAATAAATGACTCCTATGTACATACCTCCTAGCTCCAAATCCTTTGATGCTCTTAGTCAGGAGCTTTGAATTCTATCTATCTTTATTTCTGACAGGCTTGAAAAATAAATTCCCATCCCATCTCAGTGCCTCAATTTCCCCCTGAATGAAATATGTAGAATTATCCTTAGACCCTCCTTGCCTCAGATCTATTTGGAGAAAAGATTATGCCTATAATAAAAGGCCTTGAGTGCCTTTGAAAAGAGATACTAGTAAATATGTGTCTAGTTTGAGCTAATAAGCTCAATTCTTCCCTTCTCACAAAGGTCTGTAAAGCTCAGCTCTTCAGAGACTAGATGAAGGGACAAATGTGTCTGAAAGTATTTCCAAATCCCCGCCATATATTTCATTGTGATGTCCCTGGCTCTCCCCTTCACATAAAGTCATAGATTTGGCCTCAGGCTCCTTCACTTTCTAGGGTGGATGGGTTCATTAATATGGTTTGGAGCTACACAGAGAGTATGCTCAGGCCTAGCTGTTGGCTTCTGGGACACTACCTTTGGGCACATCTGGAGAAAAGAAGCCCAGTGTCTTCCAAAATAACTAAAGCCCATTGCGAGCAGGTCCTGAAGGCTGCTGAGCTCTTCTCTAGCCAGAGGACAGCATGACTGAGCACCTACTGTGAAAAGGGCAGCCACGAAGAGTCAGGCTACCCGCCAAGGGTAAATGGGCACTGGCCTTTGGCGATCATTTATCCTTTGTAATAATGTCAGTGAGGGGGCACAGTATGCAGAGGGAAGGGAGCTGCTCTGTGCTGAGCCTCTGGAAACTGGGAGTAATCTAGCATCCTGGGAAATTGCCCTAGCCACTTACTGGAGACCCTCTGGCCTTTCTGCCCTTCCTTCTGGTCCCCCTCCCCCCCATTGGGCAGCTTTGCTTCCCAGTTCCTCCATCTGTAGAACATCCCGTAACTTAAACATAGGTAGACAGCTTTTGCTGAATCTAAAAAATAAATAGAAATTTTCATAGGATCCTAACTATTATGAAGAGGAAATAGGCATTTCTTTCCTTGAAAAAAACAAAACAAAAACCACACACACACACACATTGAAATTGCATTGCTAGTACTGTCTCATTACAATGCCATTTCTAAATCGAGCATCTGACCTGAAAAGGACCAATATTTAATAAGTGCCAACAGCACTTAATAATAGCTGATATTTCTGTGGTACCTTTAAGTGTTTTCCTTACAACAACTCTATGAGGTAAGTAGTACACATATTCTTATTCCCATTTTGCAGATGAAGAAACCAGGGCTCAGTAAGTTTGTTGGTATTTGATAGATAATTGATTTTTTTTTCTTTTTTCTTCTGTGCATTTGGTTTAAATATGAAAGGTAGACCTTAGACTTATAGAATGTCAGACATGGTAGAGACCTTAGAAATGGTCTTGTCCAAATCCCTCGTTTTACAGATAAGGAAACTGATGTCCAGGGTAGGAAAGTGATTTATCCAAGGTCACACAACTAGCTATACCTACATCTCACTTTCCCCTCTATCTGCCTTATCTATCTTTATTTTGTCAAGAGCTCCTGAGTCCCCCCTTTATTTTCCCACTGAGAATAAGCCCATTTCATGGGACAGTTAGGTGGTGAAGTACATACAGCACTGAGCCTGGAGGCAGGAAGATCAGAGTTCAAATGTGACCTCAGATACTTCTTAGCTGTGTAACCATGGGCAAGTCATTTAACCTCTGTTTGCCTCAGTTTCCTCAACTGTGAAGTAGGGATAATAACAGCACCTACCTCCCAGGGTTGGTGTGAAGAACAAATGAGATAATATTTGTAAAGCACTTAGCACAGTGCCTGGCACACAGTAGGTGCTATATAAATGTTTATTTCCTCCCCTTCCTTTCTCAGTGGCAATAGAATTCAATCTCTTTGTCTGTTAGAACACTTAACTTCCTTTCAAGGCTTAACTCAGGTTTGCCTCTTAAAGGAAGTCTTTGTGCCCCTCCCCCCTTAATTATTAATATTCTTACCCTTCTAAAATCGTCTTGCATTTGCTTATCTGTGTAAATGTTCTATCTCTCCCAGCAACCTAGATGTAAACTCTTTGAAAGTAGGGGTTATTTTTTATTTTGTCTTTGTCTCCTTAGCCTAACACAATTCCTCATACATAATAGGTACTTAATAAGAGCTTGTCATTGAATTGACAGCTCAGTTCTTACTCTAGGAAATATGAGACATATTGATGAATATAAAGGACTCCACTTAAGCTAGAGCAAGCAGTACCTATAGGCAGGGATGGAGGAGGGGAGAGAGGGGAGTGTGAGATAAACCTGGAAAAGGCTTTTATTCAGTAGTAGTAGTAGAAGTAGTAGTAGTAGTAATATTTCTATGGTACTTTAAGGTTTGCAAACCATTTTACAAATATTATGCATTTGATGTTCACAATAACTCTGAGAAGTAGGTGCTATTATTATCCCCATTTTACAGGTGAGGATATTGAGGCAGACAGAGGTTAAATGGCTTGCTCTGGATCACACAGCTAGGAAGTGTCTGAGGCCAGATTTGAACTCAGGTTTTCCTGACTTCCAGTCCAGGAGGCAGGGGGAACCATTGAAGGCTTTGGAGTCAAGGAGTGGAGTAATTTGAGTTCTGTATAAGGGGGAGATTAGTCCGGTAGGGGAATGGAGGCTGGATAGGAGAAAGGAAAGTCTGAAAGGTGATTCTTGGTCTACTCAGCTTTACCCCACGGGGCCTGGCAAGGGGCAGGAGCAGGTTAGTGGGAATGACCACATCAGATAATACTAGCAGTTAAAAAATTATGAAAGTGCCTTGTTCCAGTGAATGTCCCCCCCCTCCTCCCACCATCCACTGTAGGGGTCATAAGCTTGTAAGAAAAGGGCTTATGCTCTGCAGCCTGAAAGCCAAGGAATGTTAGCCTTCAGCCCAATGGCCAAGGAGAAGCATGGGGGCAGGCCAAGGAGGGTGTACGAGTGGATTATATAAGAGCTTCGGTCATCTAGCCGTGCAGCCAGGAATACAGTGGCAGCAGAACTCCGCCCTGGAAGCGGCAGGGGCTTAGGCAGGGTCAGGGAAGGGGTGTCGCAAGTTGGATCCTGGTTGGAACGGGCCCAACCGCACTGTTTACATCCCCAGTGACTGAGAGCTGCATAGAAAAGGTTGCTTTTGTCTTATTCCAACTGCCTTCCAGGGCTGACATTGGCTACTTGGTTTGGAGGAGGTGGAAAGGGATCCCTGGGTTCTCTCTAAAGGCTAAGTTCTTGTCTTTTTGCAGGTGCCAATGAAGCTGCTAATGGCAATGATGCTGGGTTTGATGGCGATGGTCGATGGCCAATTGTCAAAGAATAAGGATAGGATGTGTGTCTACCAGGTGCTCTCCCAAGGGGATGCTTTATTCTGCAAGTGAGTAGAACCCACATGGGTGGAGTGGGGGTGGGGGGAAGGAAGGATCAGGATGGAATCGGGGCATTTGTTCCGTGGACCCAGGGTAGTAGTTTCTCCTGCTATGAGGGGCAAGATTCCTTGGTTCTAGGTGACCTTGGCTGAAGTCCTAGGGGAAAAAGATATAATCTTAGGAGATCAAGTCTGTGAATCATCTTAGCCAAGAATACTATTGAGGCGGCTTGCATTTTTTTCTAGGTCTGAGCAGAGCTTGTTTTCTGAAAGTGGCTGGCTTAAATCTCAGCCTCTCTTCTCCCTTCTCTGGTGAGTGGGAAAAGGTGCCATGAACCAGTTAGACAAAAGTCCCTCATTATAACAAAACTTACTTCTCTGCAAAATAACCTTTTCCCCTGCAAAAGAGGATTACATTTTTTTTAAGATGACACTAATTAAGCCCTGAACTCATCCCTCCTCTCTCCAAATAACAACTTGAGCATAACTGTTTTTGCCAGAGAACAGAGCACTTTGGCATGACCTCGGGCCAAACAGGGGAAAGGGCTATAGTTGTAGACAAAAGAGCCTGGCCCTTAACGGCACGTGGACACACTGCAGGACTCTGAAATACCGAGGCCAGCACTCTACTCAGAATTTTTAAAAAGATTAAAAGAAAGAGAGCCGGGCAAAACTTGGCAAGGTCAGCGTGTACTTCATGGGCTAAAAAATCTGGTAGAACAAAGTCTCCAGAGTGTTTCTTTAGGGTGTTAACATCCCACCCCCATCCTCCTCCCTTCCTCCCCCTGTGCAGGAGGCCTTGGTCTTTGAAAAAGATACTTTACTTTCTGCTGAGCTTTGATTCAGAAGTGAATTTGCTTAGACTGATGGGAACCTGAAGCTCCTAGGGATCTTAACACAATTTGTCGAGGAAAGGAATCTGACAGGACAATTCATTTACACTTTGCCATTCTTGTCTTAATGTGCTACTACTTACTTCCCTGCCAGAAGCATTTGGTTTCAAAGGGAAAGTAGACAGTGGCCAACGCTTGTCCTAAAGGAATGAATTCCTAACTGTGTAATTTCAGACATCTTGAGGAATATTGTTGGATAAGAGACTTATCCAACCTTCTACGCCTGTATACAACCCTGGGCCTTTGTACTTTGCTTTATCCATTTTATTTATTCCTAAAATAATCCATGCACAGACCAGGCCCTTATAAATCAAATCCTGTTTAAAGATATTCTGTGAGCTCACTAGAGGGCCCCTGAAATAAATCTTTATTTAAAAGAAAAGAAAAGAAAAACATGAATAGAAGCAACTGGGTAACGCAGTGGATAGAGTGCTGGGTCTGGAGCCACAAAGACCTGAATTCAAATCTAGCCTCAGACACTTAGTATGACCCTGGGCAAGTCACTTAATCTTAGTCTTGCCTCAGTTTCCTTAACTGTGAAACAGGAATCATAATTGAGCCTATTTCTAGGGTTATTGTGAAGATCAAATGAGATAATATTTGTAAAAAGGGCTTAATACAATGACTAGCACATAGTAGGTGCAATACAAATGCTTATTCTATTCCCTTCCCATCTATTTTGTAAAGCTGGGTTTTTTTCCTTAGGTTTGAAAGTGGAACCTGATTGTTTTTGACTTGGGTTTTTAGAACCCGGACCCATTCTTGGATTCCTAGGCTGCAGCTTTGCAATGCCTCTAACATCTCTGGAAACCCAATGTCCAATGTCCTTCTGTCTCTCTCTCTCTCTCTCTCTCTCTCTCTCTCTGCAGGGGCAACCTTCATGTGATCTACCCAGAGATAGGGGATGTTGACTGCATATATATCCCTGAGTGCAATGACTTCAGGCAGAAGATTAGCAGTTGGGATAGACCTTCCATCAAATACTCCCGGGCTAATGAGGTGAGTGCACCATGTGGAAGGTCGTCAGCACTGTTATTGTCACCAGCCAGATCTTGAACACCTGCTGTGTGCAATGTGGAGCCACCTTTGTTCCTAGAACCCAATAGAGGCAGGCACAACCATAGCCCTCCTTGGGGGAAATGTCAGGAGATGCAATGAAGGGTGCTGTTAAACATAACTTCTTACACAGACACACTTTTTAATAATACTAGAAAGTCCTTCTCTCTGTGGATCATGGGGGTTTTGTTTATGGTGACACCAGACTCATGCATTATAAGGAAGGCTCAAAGCCTTGGGCAACAAAAAGTTGGGAGGAAAAGACATATTTTCAAACCTAGGGGAGGTACAAAGATTCTTTGCCCTGGACATCCAAACTTTCTCAGACTAGAAGGCCAGGGTGAGGGATTCCAAGAAGCCTATGGTATGAATACTCTGGAATTCAAACACCTCCTAGGCGGTCCTCACCCCCCCTGCCCCACTGGCTCCTTCATTTTCACCCAATGTCAAGGCCTGATGAGATAAGAGGCATTGCCTGCCTCAGAAGGCTAGATATACCTTCTAGGGGCTCCAAATTTTTTTTTCTCCCAAGAGTCTGCTTGTTGACTTTGTGGGAAGGAAGGTACCTAGAAAGCAGAAATGGGCCAGCCAGCAAAAGGTTCCTACCACCAAGAGTGGTATCACTCTTAATCTTAGACTATAGAAAGCTAGTGTTCTTCACTTTGGTGAAATGGTGAGAGATCAGGTTTATCTTATTCTTGACTGTTGGCCAGTACCAAAAGAGATGTGCTCTGATATTATGTAGAGCATAAATGTGATGACTTAGGTCAAAACATTATGAGGAAAAAAAGGGGGGGGCAGCTAGGTGGCACAGTGGATAGAGCACCAGCCCTGGAGTCAGGAGGATCTGAGTTCAAATCCAGCCTCAGACACATAACACTCACTAGCTGTGTGACTCTGGGCAAGTCACTTAACCCCAATTGCCCTCACCAAAAAAACAAAACAAAAAAACAAAGAAACAAACAAGCAAAAAAAAAACATTGTGAGGACTTGAAATAATTGCTCCTGCCACAGAGACTTAGCATTAAGTAGCATCATCTTGTTCCCAAAATTGCCCTTGGTTTGTGGGGCAAAGGTGGTCTATGAATATTATAAAATTGAGATATAGCAAAAGATCATTGTGTTTCTGGGAAATGGGAGGATGAGCTGGGGTGAAGGGACCTTTGTGACCTATTTTAGTGGTCATGCGGCTTTGGGTTTCTCTCCTGAGTGTCATTTCCTTGTCTTTTGCTCGGTTGGCAAAGGAGGAGGAACTTGGTAATGAACTAGAACCTGGCTTTAAAGACTTATTCTTTTCTGAATGGGCCTGGTTTGAGGCTATGGGCTCTGGATGCTGGATTGGTCTGTTTGAGAATGCCCTTTGAACTCAAGGATCCCCACTGAGGATAATTAAGTTAATGATTAGGATTATTGGCCAATTGTGTCTCTGGGTCCAAGAAGGGAACTACATTGTAAGAGGAGATCTTTAGGGATCATCAGCCTCTACCTCTCAGATCAGAAGATCAGGGCAGACCAAGGATTCACGTGAGGAATGTTTAGCCCTGGAGGCTAGAGCCATGCACTGGGGAGTCAGGCCTTTATATGGACTTTGGATAACTACCATCTTTTTTTTTTTTTTTGCTATTTCTGAATGTTTATATTGTTTATCTTCCCAATGAAAAGGGACACTTATGTGTCAAAGGGTTCAATATGGAAACTGGGGAGAAAGAGCTGGAGCCTGGGGTCACTCAATCTTCTAAAGTCAGCTCTTATGCCCCCACACCCTTCCCCAACCCAGGCATTCTCTTTTCCTGTGGAGAGACTACTGAGAGCTCTGACCTTTATCAGTTATCTAACATTATAACTATATAGTGCTTTGATGTCACGGACCCCAGACACAAAAATCTCTCCGCAGACATTAGCACTAGGATCCAGTGCGAACTCAGTTTTGCCAGCCCTTTGGACGTGAGCTGCGTTCATCTGCTTCTGCCTGCTGCCTTAATGCTCCAACACCCCCCCACTCCTCAAAGGTACCCCTTTGAACCCCATGGGTATCCTTGCCCCGTTGCATTACCCAGAGATGCACACCCACACACCCTTCTCCCCAACAGAGGCAACCGCTTAAAGCCAAACGAAGACTCCTTGTTTCCATCGCCTTGCATTAACTAATCACTCTGCTCCCACAGTCACTCAGACCCAGCACTGACTTTATCTTCTGCTCTTCATCATCTTCAGCGTCCAGCCAGGGGTCTCCTCCTTACCAAGCCCCACTAACCGATTACCAGTGACCCAAGAACATACCGAAGGGCCTTTTAGAACCCACGAGGGACTTGACTACCCATGAGAGCCTCTACACAGGGCTGTGACTCCTCCAAAGGGTTATTGCCCCGGGTCTTGCAGGGGCAAGGGTGGGAGATGGGGCTAGGTAGTAAGAGATGACCTGCAGGCCTCTGAGGGGCAACTAGGTGGTGCAGTGGATAGAGTGCCAGGACTGGGGTCTGAAAGATTTCTATTTGTGAGTTCAAATCCGGCCTCACATACTTATTAGCTGTGTGACCCTGGGCAAGTCACTTAACTCTGTTTGCCTCGGTTTCCTCATCTGTAAAGTGAGCTGGAGAAGGAAATGGCAAACTGCTCCAATATCTTTACCAAGAAATGGCAAACTGTGTGACCCCAAGTAAGTCACTTAACCTCTGTTTGCCTCAATTTTCTCATCTGTAAAATGAGCATAAGAATAGCACCTACCTTCCAGTATCTTTGCCAAGAAAACCCCAAATGGGGTCACAAAGAGTCAGACTTGACTGGGCAACAACAATGGGCCTCTGAGCCCAGGGAGCTGAGGGGCTGGCTCTGTGATCAAGAATGTCAGGAGCTAACCATCTTGGGTCATTGAGATTTAGCTAAGAGTTAAGAGAAATCCTGGGCAAAGGGATATATAATTTCATTAGTGTCAGGCTATTTCCTTTGACACAGATCACAACTTCCTTGTAATTAGCAAATAAGACTGGGAGCCTCAAGGTGCCTGTTCCCCAGCCTCTCAATCCACCTCTCTATGGACCACCCTGGTGATGAGCCTGTCCTCACTTAACCAGGCTGGTGCTTGGGCAGTAGGCATGGCACCTATCACCAACCACATACTCAGTCTTCCCAGCATGGAAGAAGCTTGCCAGAGCTTGGACTCTGCTGGCACAGCTGTTGAAAACTCAGGCTAACCTCCTTGCCGCGGTAAAACATAGGGATAGGATGTTAATGGAAACAGCTAGTTAGTTCAAAATCAAGGGCAAGTTACCAACTCCCAGCCCCACAGAATAGGCAAGTCAGGAGTCAAGTTTTGAGTCCAGAGGTAAGCCCTCTCATAACAATAATAATAATAATAATAGCAGCTAATATTTATATAGTGCTTACTATGTGCCAGGCATCATACTAAGCACTTTACAATTATTATCGCATTTGTTCCTTACAGCAACTCTGGAAGGTAGGTGCTATTATTTATATATTTATAAGTATATTGGGTATAAATAAATTTATAAATATTAGATATAAATGAATTTATAAATCTATATAAATACATTTATAAATATAATTGGATATAAATAAATTTATAAATATATAAATATTGGATATAAATAAATTTATAAATATGTTATATGCAAATAAATTTATAAATATATTGAATATAAATAAATTTGTAAACTTATAAAATGAGTTTCCCCATTTTACAGATGAGGAAACTGAGGCAAACAGAGGTTAAGTGACTTGCCCAGGGTCACACAGCTAGTAAGTGTCTGAGCCTAGATTTGAATTCTGGTTTCCCTGGCTCTACTCTATCCACTGTACTTTGGGCACTTAGGTGCCCAAAATATTTTTCTTCTGCTGTTTTAAAGGCAGGAGCACCGTGAAGTCTTCTCAATTGGAGCAAACTTAGCATAGGCATAAAAGTCAAATGTCTACATTGTGTATGGAGATCTATAGTGGTATCTATCTATGCTTCCTGTTTTATTCAGTGGAAGGGACTGAGAGGACTCTTATTTTCACCCTCTCCCCAACCCTAGCTCTATGTCTCCCTAGACACTTTTTGGAGCTTTGGCCAGGTTAACTGATTCCCCTCTTGCCATCAACACTTGCTTATTATGGGAAGTATTTTTGGTCTCTCCACATCTACCCCATAAGGACACTTGGCATTTGCTGGGAATGAAGTTTGGACTAGCCCTATCTAGAGGCTATGGCTTTGAGCAGCTGCTCGGTGCATTGTATCTGCCCAGGCCACCAGGTGGTGCTGAAGATTGGTTCTGCCAGCTTATTGCCAGCTGTGCACTCCAGCCTTCCCTAGTGCCCTGGGTATTTTAAATATAGGCTAACAGATAAATCCAGATACAACTCATCATTCTTATGGCTTATGACCTCATCCACTAGGGTCTCTTAATTTCCTCACTTTTCCTTCTCAGTGTATCCTCAAAGAATTAAGTCACTTCATATGTATGCTAAATACATTTACTGAATGGAAATCAAAAGTAAATTGTAACCTCCTTTGAGCAGAGGTATTGCATTTACAACTCCCCTTCTCCCTCTCTTGCGCTCTGTCCTTCATTTTCACCACAGACATGGCCACACTCAAAAGAGTTTTATCAAGCAATCTCTATCTCAAGATCACCAGGTCACCATGGTCTAGCAGCTCACGAATGGCCAACAGCAATCATTGCCCCTATATCTACTTTGCATGCCTCAGCTACTGGCCCCAGGAAAATGTCCCTAGCCCATCTATCTATGTGGCCCTTTGTAATGTATCTCTGCATTTCTTTGCAGTGTGTTTCAGACATGTTCAGACATGTTTCAGAAATGTCCTAGAAGTGTGTCAGTTGCTCAGTAATTCCATGATGTATTCTCTGGAAATTCTCCCACAGCTATCCATGTGGCCAGACAGCTGTCCCTTGGGGGACTAAGTCCAGAAGTCTAAATATTACAGA